TTTGTACAGAGTGATTTACCACGGCTCCAAGAGAGGCAACCATGTAAAGGAGAACCAAGAGTTTTAAGCAGACCAACCAGGGCAAGGACCTGGGCTCTAGGCAGGGTTGGAAGAGCAGCAGCCCGTCTGAAGCTCAGGCTGCGAGTGGACAAATATTTTTTGTGGTGCTCGTGCCTGTTTGAGCAATGCCTCTGCTTGCTCCCACTCCTCTGGTGTTCCCACACTGCTCTTTGCAAAGCCACAGAGAGGACCGCGAGAGGGGACCAATCTAGCCCAAACCAGGGGCAGGAAGGCATTAGGAGCAAAGTTGAAGCAGGCTACTCATCTGTCACTACAGCTGGGAAAAAGGACCCTGCTTCCAAGCTGGATATGGTTCCCTAATTGCTAAATAGCATTAAACTTGGAGCAATCTGAAGCAAGAAGCCAGTTAGCACCTGAGGATTGAATTGGGGGGTGTTAAGAAGGTGCTAAGGTTGTTAATGCAATCATACCCCTCTCAGGAAATGGGAGAGGATGCCATTCCCTGATAATTGCATTTCAACGGGGTGCAAGCACAGCTGGATCCCTGCTGTTGGATTCATGTCAGCTCCCGGCCTGGTAATAATTCAGCCTGTCCCTTCAAAGTGAAGAGGATGTAACCTACAGGGCACACAGGTCTCCTGAAGGCACCTTTCAGACTTGCCCTTCTGGTGCTGGAAGGAGGCTGTGTTGAGTCAGACGAAACTTGGTATTATTTTGGGGTTTAATTCCCAGTCAGGGTTCAGTGGAAGCTCAGGAAAGCGTTGCCAGCTGGGAACCTTCTTGACACAGCTAAGCCCATTTAGGGTGTGTGACCTACAGAGAAGGGAAACAAAAGGGTCCTTTCCACACCGTGTTCCTGCCCTTGCTTGACACCCAAGCTTGGCTCCTTTGGAGACAGCAGCTGAGAGCAGCAGCTGGCACACAAGCAGAATTGCATGGTCCATACCTGTACTGAGGTATCTGCAGTGTTGCTTATGCTGGTGGGAAAGCCCTGATGAGTTACTCCGATGGATGCTGGACTGTGGAGGAGTCTGCTGACCAGGATCCAAGTCAGAAACCTGAGCAAGAAAAAAGGTACTAGAAAGTTTCTACCCTATAGACACATTGTTTTGTTTTGTTTTTTAGCATTTGATGCTGAGCTTTGTGCTACGGAGCAAGTCAGATCAACTGATCATAAGGATCCTTTCCAGCATTAAAGTAAGTGTCACTTGTGTGAAATTATGCTGTCCTAGTAGTAATGGGCTTGGCTAGCTTCACCCAGCCTGGTGGGGTGGTTTGTGTTAGCAACAGTCTCCCAGGAACTCTCCTGTGCTCTCAGCATCATCTGAAAATACAGGTTGGTCAAGCAGCACTGCAATGTAGAAACAAGCCCAAACTGTAGCAGAGCCAGGTGTAGCACAGGTCCAGTGCTGCACCATGGAGAGGACTAGAGCAAGGCTTTAAAGATGCCTCGGGTGGCTTTGGTAGGACAATCCACTTAATGAGATAGATTCACCCCCACCCCCAAGGAGCTCAGCTTTGTTCACTGGTTTCGGGGAGTTTTAGGGTGCTTATTGTGCACATGACAGGATATGGCTCAGTGGGATGAGTCACGCCCTGTAAAGTTAATTCACACTTTGCTGCTATTGCCATTCACAGGTTCTTCTGTTAAGCTTTAATGCTGGGAAACTGCAAAGCTGGGAGCTGGCTCCAAATAATCCCACAGGTTGCTTTGCATCTAGCAAGCAGCAAGTTGCTGGAAGATGGTGTGGTCTCAGGCTTTGTCAAATTAAAAAGAAAAATAAATAAAAACCCCAAATCATGTTTTATCAGCAGTAATTTCCTGTGCCCTTCAAGTTTTCGAATCACATTTGTTCATTACCTGTGCTCCACTGTGGTACTGTCCATTTTCTTTCCCGCTTTCCTTCTGATCTCCCCCAGAAATCTTAAGTCCCCAGCCTGTGGAGCAGCTATGGGGCCCCAGATGTGGGCAGACAGGAGCCCTGACCCACCTGTGATGCTGATGAGAAGGCTAAAGGATGAGTCCTGTGAGCTAGTTCGGATACAGCCTCTATGTCCTGTGTGGCACAGACAACATTTCTCAGCACCTGAGTAGTGTCTAACTACCAAAGTAAATTAAATAAAACCGGTGGCTTAATTGCCCACCAGCCTAATGACAGAGCAGCATGTTATTACTGAGGCTCCAAATGCAAGTCCTACATGGGCTTGTCTCAGTGAGTGCTGGGGGGGCCTCCTGACTGGTCCCTGCATGGTGGCTTTTGGGGAGAGCCACTGAAAGCCTTGGATATTTGCTACTCACACCCCTTTGGTATCCTCCACCCTCAACAGCTGCTGAGGGAGAGGAAAATTAATTAAAATTGTGGAGGGTTTCAGCTATGAGGGGATTTTTACCATTGCTACTGGGGGTTAGGGTATGAAGGGCAAAGTGGGGCAATTTCCCTCTCATGCTGTTTTCAGTAAAACGGAATAACACCTCCACCTTTAAGCCCAACTTACTTTGTACTGACAAAATTACAAATACAAATTGCAGATGTTAAAAAAAATTTATTTCAACAAATCTTAAGACACAATCACAGAGGAAGAAAGCAGCTCTCAGTACAGTTTCTTTTCCAGAATGAAATAATCCCTGTTTCGTACCAAGCTACTGCAGGACAACCCTTGCTCTCCCCAGCAGGAGGGGGAGGCTGGTGTTCTTTCCAGCTGTGGATTTGCCCCGTGGGGGTATGGCGTGCTCCTCAGCAGGTCCCACCACAGCCCTTGGTCTCACAGGCTAAAGAAATGCATGAAGACCCAACAGACAAACTGAACTAGTGATACAGCAAAGGTGCCTGTACAGGTAGGAAATACACACAGAGATACATTGCTGAGTGAGAGCTTTGTTCAAGAAGTGGTGTCCTGCCCAGAGGCGTGTAGGACAGGTCACTTCTAGCTACCTCCATCTCTTGGGACTCCTCACTGGACCTGTATGGCATTTCTGCTGGAGGAGTCTTTCAGCATTCAGCTCATTTTGCCATGCAATCCTTCCCAGGTCCCTAAGCCTTACTCTACAAGCAGCTCCAAGGCTGTGGGCCACCTCCCTTTGCAAGAAGACCTGCCTACCTCTTCCATACTATGATACTGCCCAAGGAAGACAGCAGGCTTGTCTCATGTCATGAGCTGCACCACAAAAAGAGATGGTTGTAAGAGATGTTTGCAGGCATTTGTTTGGATCCAGAGCCATACTGCATGACCTACACTTGTTTTTTTATGGGCCCACTAGCTCAGGTATGCTTGCTTTTGGTGCAGGGCAAGCAATCCACAGCTGTATCACCTCCTGTCACATTACTCCAGATTGTCCCCAAAGCGATGGGCCATGGCCAGATGCAGAGAACCCCCTGAGTATCAAAAGCATTGCTTGACAGACCTGTCATGCTCTCTGCTACATACACCAGAATGAAATGTCTCTGTGAAAGAAGTTTTAGAAGTTGATGCAAATTCTGTAACAAAATGTGAATAGATTCTCCAAGAAATTAATCCCCTGAGAAACAGTTGAGAGGGGAACGGAGCAAACATAGTGCATGTTTTTCTCTAGCTGGAACTTCATGGATTTCCTTTGCTTTTGATTTCAGCAGATCAAGCAGTGACTTTTAAGAAAGGGAAGCACAACAGAAAGAAGCCCTGAGCCCTCTGTTCCTGGGCTCAGGAAGAACAGTACAAGGTAAATTCTGTTCTCCTGCATAGATGTGAAACTGGGGATTTTACTGACCAAGAGGAACTCTCTCTCTCTCTCTCTCTCTCTCACTACAACCCCTTCCTTTTGATTCAGAACTTAATGTATGGGCAATATTACTTTGAAATTGAAATCACTAGCAATTATTTCAGGTCCCTAGAAGATTCCCTGAATATCAGCTCTTAACTGATCAGAACCACAACTTTCATTTAACAATGTTCATTCTTCTTTCCTTCTCCATCTTCCTTTCCTCCTTCCATCTTTTTCATTTTTATTCCCTTCCTTTTCTTCCTTCTCTCTTCTTTCATTACATGCATGGCTCTCCATCTACATTTCACCCTTTGGTAGTGTTCTAAACCCTTCACTGATGCAGTTTTGTCTTGGCTAGACAGACAAGAGCTACTCATCACTGTTCCTCACCTGTTCCTTCTCTCAAAACACCACACACATAAAAGGCCTTTCAAAATAGGTCCCCAAATTCATGACTACCTTGTAAGATAGCACTGGCACACGCTGGACTACAGAGTCCACCAAATTCATGACTACCTTGTAAGATAGGACTATAGCACTGGCACACGCTGGACTACAGAGTCCTCTCAGAAAATGTTTTGCTTAAAAAATGACTGTAGCTCCCAGTGCATTTTCTCTTCAGCCTGCTAATGGCCTTTATTTAGGAAAAACCTTCTCAAGGGCACTCACAATACAGGGCCTTTAAGAAAGAGCGCTGCTTTTTCACAGTCAAGTGACTTCTACCTATTTTGGCAAGCAGAATCGGAGGAGGAACCCAAGCTTCACGTTACAAACTCCACTTTGCAGTCTCCTGTAACTGCCCCTGCCCTACTCTCTGCCAAGCCTGGAAATCAGCCAAAACATAGGCAGACTTCTCAAGTCCCTCACGTTTATTCTGCTGCGTCAGAACTCCAAAAGTGTGTTAGCTTCAGACAGAAAACTGGTCATTTTGAACAATGTAAGGAACCTGCCTGTTCTGGGGTACTGAGTCTCGATGTATTAAAGGCTCCCATTAGCCTGGGACACTACAGACATGTCCAGCAGGTACTTATAGCTGCCTGGACCATTTCACATCCCAGCACAATGGAAATCCAGTTCATGTCTCCTAGGCATCTGATACTGTAACCCAGCAAGAGCCAGGTTTCCAAGCCCAGCAGCTTATCATACCCTCCTCGCTGGGGCCATAGGAGCAGTCACTCCAAGAAGGTGCAGAGCCAATATTGGCATTGGGTGTTTCTTTTTCCTCTGCCTCAAAGCAGCTTCAGACAAAGCAAAAGAACTTCTTCCAGCGGCACTTGGAGAGAGTTTTGATGCCTTTGGCAGTCATCTTCTTTTCCTGCCGTGCTTTGTGCTCAACACCACTGACAATAGCCATGTCAAAAACTTCTTTGAGGTTCTTCTGGGTTAGTGCTGAGCATTCCAGGTACGCTTCAGCCCGGATTTTGTCAGCTAGACCTTCTGCCTGAGGCCTGGGCACAGGTTTCACATGGTAGCGATCCAGGCTGATGAGGACATTGACATCATCCCGCAAGTCTGCCTGCGTCCCCACTAGCAGCACTGGCGCCCGGGGGTTGTGAGTTCGTATCTCAGGGATCCATTTCTCAGTAATGTTCTGGAAGGAGCTTGGGTTTACCACGCTGAAGCACACAAGGAAGACATCGGTGTCGGGGTAGCAAAGTGAGCGCAAACAGTCGAAGTCTTCCTGTAGAAAATGGAGGGGAAAAAAGAAGTCTTTACTGGACTGATCTCCTAACAGCAGTGGATTTTGCACACATTAAGTAGGACAGCAACATCCTCAAAGGCAGGGTTGTGCTGACTTTGTGGCTGTGTCACGGTTCAGACACAAGTTTCAGAGCTGGGGGAGTCTGTCACCCATCTGTGACCGCCATACCAGTGAACGGCTGATGCTGGACTAGTGCATTTCCTTCCCTCCCAGTTAAACACTGCCTTCCTCAAAAGCCTGCAAACAGTCCCTGTCCCACAGGACCACAGCTGAGAGCTGCTTTGATAGAGCTTACCTGCCCAGCGGTGTCCCACAGCTGGATCCGGACTGGAGCTCCATCCACCAGGACCTGCACTGCAGCAGAAAGAGAAGAAGGATGAGTCTAAGGCAGTTGTCCAGCATACACATAGAGACTCAACAGGCTTTTCCCCAGAGCACTCTAGTTTGTATCCCACTGAACAGAGTCACTGAAGTCACCCAAGTCTGTCCTCCTTGCTGAACATCCTCCCAAACCTCACTAAAACAGCTGAAGCTTGCACTGGGAACATTGAGAGATCTACAATAGACTTTCTCATTTGGTTACCCCCAGGTGTTTTGGGCTCTTCTCCAGCACTCTGAAAGAATAGTTCCATATTACTGGACTACTGCTTCTCTAGAGAAGAAGAGCCCTTAGTCAAACAGTGCCCTGAGAACAACTTGTTGTTCTTCCACAGCCCAAGAAAGCAGGTAAGGATAAACACAAACTGAGAACTTCAGCAACTTGCTCATAGCTTGTTGGCCAAGGATGGAAGTCCAAATCAGTCTCTATTAAACAAACTATTGGAGAATTTTTCTGTGAGTGTCCTAGCTCAGGAAAACCAAAGACCTAAACAAAACTTTGAAATGAAGAAACTATTAAGGGAACAGTGATGAGTGAAATCCCCTTCAGAGACTATCCACACACTGCAAAACTGCTGAGTTCCACATGTAAGGTCTGCTCCCATTTCACTCCCTAATCACAGTCAGCCTTCATGTGGTATCAGCTGACTCAGAGTGAGGGCTGGCAGGACCTCTGATGGAAATCTGGAATGAAACTGTTAGATGTTTAAGTGCACAGACACCACAGAGACTGGCTAGGAACGGAGAAAAAGGAGGAAGGAGTTGGGGGAGATGGAAATCACTTGGAAGTCCTGACAAGGTGGATGGGGCTGTGCTCTGGTGAACAGAGGCAGACATCCTGGCTAAGGTGACAATGGCTGGCACTTGACACCAGCTAGCTAAACTCTCTTGCTGTGCCTGGAGAGGAGGCTTTATTGTTTTTTCTTGTTTTTAAAAAAAAACCAAAAAAACCCAACAAAAACCCCAAAAAAACCAAAGAAACCCCAAACCCAAACAAAAAAAGCCCCAAACCAAACAAAAAACCAAAAGCAATCAATCTTTTGTGATTCTTGAAGTAATTAGCCAGGTGAGAAAAGTGTTAGAAACAAGTGACTTGGAGAGTTTAACAGGAGCTCTTGGAGGAGAGCATGCCTGCCTGGAAGCAGTCTGGGGAGAAAGAGGGAGGCACAGACAAAAGATGAACTGAAGTTTGGTGGGAGACTGAGACTGAAGGAAAAACGAAGGGGTGGGTGCCTCCACCACAGGGCCACTCCTCGCAGCGTAGCTGAAAGTCATTGCTTCCTTGTGACTGGGAATCGGTTGGGTTGTTACCATATCTTTGCCCCAGAGGAGGAAGAGAAACCTGTTCCTGATCAAAGAACCTGCTAGATCCTGACTTGATCTTCAAGGCACTGGGCATTTGCCTTTCTAGTATCTGGTTTCTTCTGTCTCACAAGCGCATTGAGAGCAGGAATTAGCATCTCTGAAATGTTTTACCATCTGCAGAAGGAAGGCATCACATATATATTACCTGCTGCCCCAGTGCTTGCACCAAGTTTTGCTGTACCTGCTGCTAGCCTAAGCTAAGCTACCAACTCTGCGACAGCTCTCCAAATACCGCCCTCACAAGCTCCACACCCTCGGGATGAGGCTGAATTTCGGTTCAATAGCGAAGGGGCCGGCAGAACAGGATAGCCTGGTGGAGAAAGGTCACCGGGTACGTGCTTGACTCAAGGCTGCTCTATCTGGCAGTGACACCCAGACAGATGGGGCTGGGTCACAGTCCCAGAGCCATTCCCCTGATAATGCAATACTTTCTCCTATCTTGTTATTGGTATTACAGTCCTGTGACCAGAAATAAGGTTAGGATGTAAACTGCTCAGTCCTGCTGCCAGTTGCAATTGCAGATATCTCCCCCCAAGAGCGGGGGGAACTGGGTGGAAATTTCTGAAAAGGATCCTGAACTGTAATCCATGAATCCAGGAGGAACCTTTTTCAAGTTTATCCAGGTTAAGAGTAGGGGTGGGAAGGGAAACTTCTCTCTTCTCCCATTTCCTCCCAATAAGCAGAAAGTGAACTTCAGAACACTCATTTTTAACGTTTTTGATTTCTACCAGTTGCAAATCCTATGCACCTCTGGAAGTCAGGCTGGGTACTTGGACATTCAGAGCGGGGCTACACCCATGTGCAGCTATCTTCAAATTACTTGCTGCTAACCGGGGAGTCTCTGAACTCATACTGCTTCTACCTTTCTCAATCATTTTATTATGGATTTGCCCTTTCAAAAAATAGAAGCTAATAACTATGGTAATTTCAAGCCTCTCTTAGCCCAAACCATACACATGAAGGTAAAGGGAGCAGAGAGAGCAGTAACCTCTCCCTTGGAGGACTCAAGGGCTCCTTACATCTGTTCCCAAAGGGCTGCTGGACCCTGAACAAGCAGTGTGTTCCCAGTTAATTTCCTTCAAGTGACAGTAAAAGAGCTTGGAGAAGGTCAAGGCAAATCAACAATTCCCAGTGTAAGAGTGAGCATCTGAGGGGGACATTTCAGACAAACAAAACACTCCCTCTAAGAACCCCTGACACATAAGACATCTTGTTCCTGGTCTGACTTGAGCCCATCTCTAATCTACCAATCTATACTGTCATGTACTGTTGTGTTTCTTCATATCAAATGAAGATCAGAAATCTTTCAAAGGGTTTTGTATTTTCCTGGGGTTTATATTAGAAATTGGAGCCCAAAGGAAGAGTGGGGAACAAGAACAAAGACAGCATTTACAAAAGTGGAAACTAATGAGAGCTCATCAGCTGATCAGGAAGGCGATTCTAGCCAGACTTACAAAGCTCTTCAACTTTTTGACAACTTCTGTTCAATGCTAACCTCAGTGGACATGTGGAGAAAAGGATGGTTTTGTGGAATATCAGTTGCAGTTAGTGTGATGCTGTGATATTTCTGAAAATATCTGAAAAGCATCACCACCAACTAAAAATTAGGTAGACATGGCACTTCAGGATGTGGTTTAGTGGGCATGGTGGTGTTGGGTTGATGGTTGATGATCATAGAATCACAGAATGGTTTGTTTTGGAAGGGACCTTAAAGCTCATCCAGTTCCAACCCCCCTGCCATCAGCAGGGACACCTTCCACTAGACCAGGTTGCTCAAAGCCTCAACCAACCTGGCCTTGAACACTTCCAGGGAGGAGCAGCCACAGCTTCTGTGGTCTTGGAGGTCTTTTCCAACCTTAATGATTCTGTTTATTCTATTTATCCATAATAACACCAGAGAACCAGGAAGGTGCCCAGCTTCATACAACTTGCAAGCCAACCTGACGCACACCCTGTTGACAGGAGCTTCTTCACCAAAGCTGCCCAATGCAGGATTTCCACTTGCTGAACTTCCCTAAACACCTGTGGGACTCTCTCCCTCCTGGGCTCTGTCCCCCCAGGCTGTGCCCACCCTACACCCCCACAGCCCGTGTCACCGGGAAAGCCGCCCCCACTGTCCCCCCGGCCCCGGTGGGCACCTACCGGAGAAGGTGTCGAGGGCGGTGGGCTGGTACTCGTCGGGGTAGCCGTTGGTGGTGTAGCTGACC